GCGGCGCTCGGCCGCCAGGCGGGCGCGGCGGCCGTCGTGGGACGGTGCCCGAGGCGGACCCCCGCCTGACGCGGGGCGCCCGAGGGGCCTGCGGGAGTTGCTGAGCTTATTCCCCACCCGAGCCCTCCCAGGGAAAAAAACCCTCCACCTGTAGCGGGCACAAAGGGGGAAAGAAGGCAGCCCCTGCTTCCGGGCGTTTTTCGGATCAGTAACAGAAGGGAAGCAGGAGTGCAGTTAAATATTTGTAACAGAGGCAAAAAAAAGCCCATCCCAAATCGGGAGAGGGGAGGAAAGAACAATTATCACTTCTAAGTGAAGGCGGATAGAGCTCTCTAACCCGTATCCTAGAGGTGGATCTGACAGATAAGTTTTACCACAACAAATAAATACTAAGTTAGTGGAGCTGCACTCCAATTGACAAAGCTGGCAGAAGCCATCTCTGCCGGCGTTAGCAGAGCCCATGCCCACAGGGGCAAGCCCCCAGCTCACCTAAGGCCTCAGGCTGTTCACCACCTCCACAGAGATGCCTCAGCAGTGGGAGGAAGTCAACTGTGCTACCACGAACAACAAAAGTAATAGACAACAATACTTTTATTAAAATTCTTAATCACACAATTATATACAGTCAAAGATAGTGTCAAGGTTCTGTTTGGAAGTTAAGACTTTTTAATTAGAGGTTGGGCTAGATTCCATACAATAGAAGAGTCCAGTTGTTTAATGGCACTTATCTTGGCATGTTTGCTGCTGGAGTATTTGTTCTTGATTGCCTGCAGAGAGAGAAGTTTCATTAAGGTTACCGTGTTCATATCTTTGGCAAGATAGTGAGCTTCAGCTGAAGGGAACAGGTCTGATCCAAGTCTGACAGCAGTGGCTCAGCTAAGCCAGCTTCAAAGCGCCATGTATTGACTTTTAACCATGCATACACTTCCCGCCCGCAGCATCAGGTTCGTACCGTCTGCTTGGTAATGCCCTCATTCACAAGAATTACATTCTTTGCTATATGCTGCATAACTGGGAGAAGGTCACTCTCAGTGTAAGACATGTAGTGTTGCAGAGTTGGTGTCTGAAAGACAGAGAAGTCATTAGACAAGCCTACTAGCATAATCTAAGTACACTGGGTTCTTTGTCTTCTGTTGGGCTCAGGCAATTGCAGTCCCCTGCCTCACAGGGGAGGGTTAACAGTTACTGCTCTACTTCTGTCTCCTTGTAATGGGCCATGGGGAGCCAAGAACATGCTGAGATACCACGAGGGAAGCAGAAGGTATGCACTAGGCCCAGAGTGGCCTGTAGAGCTGGTGCACAGGCACACCAAGTCCCAAACTAGGAGGCAGCCTGACAAACATGACTTACCCACTCACATCCATTGAGGAGTTTCAGAGCCAAACAGGAAGCAGCCGCCGCAGTCTTGGATGGAGGGAAGTGAACCATATCATAGTCCACAATGGACAGCTCCATCAGGTACTTGGCTAGAACATGCTGCTCCAAGTCCACCTGCAGTAAGTCAGAGTTGAGTATTGGCTGTCTCCAAGGCAAGAGCATCCTGTCAAGCCTTTGTTTAGGCAAGCAGGAAGAAACACTCCCTTAGTAAATAGTTTCAGAGCTATAGGCTTGAAAGTCAAGTGGCTTAATCACAGAGCAGTTCTGAGCTGTATTAGGCTGCTCATAGTCTAGGACGACTCCTTTCAATGGCAGTCTAGCAGTCACCTGCAGTACCAGGCAGGCATTTTAGCTCTGTTTTTGGGTGGGTTAGGCTCATGTGACTGAAAGCAGACAAGACCTGTTTCTACGTGGGAGACAGGTCTCAACCAGGCTCAGTTGCCTGAACCATTTTAGCAAGCTGCCACAGTTGAGTATGGCATTTTCCAGATGCTGTTTACAGTAACACCCGTTCTCAGCATTACCTCTGCTATCTTTGAAGCCCTCCTTAGGAAGTGCGGAGGGAGAGGGCGACCCAGACAAAAGTTCAGGGCTTGCAGGATCTTCATCTCCATCTGGGAGATTTGGAGCTTTGTGTAAGTGTTATCCGTTACATAGACAAAATCTCCAATATGTGGAGGAAACACTTCTTCGTATTTGCTGGCAATGAACATAGCTGTGACACCAACCAGCTGCAATGTCTTCTTGGAAACACCATTGTCCTGTAGGAAGAAGCAGTAGAGATTATCTCAACGACTTGGCTCAGAACAGAGATTTTCAAGATAAGGTTTGTTCTATGGCAGGATAGTCATACTGGCATATACAGAATAACTGTACATCTTCTGTTACCTCTGTTGGCATCTGCAGGGATATTAGAAGGCTTTGAGATCAAACCAGGGAGACGACTGAGCAGTTTTGATATATCAAGTCACTGTTCACAACTGAGGGGGTTATGTGGCTTATACAATTCAACATCAAATGCCCTTTGTTGGTCAACTGTATTTTGTTGAGGGTAACATGTCTAACCATGTAAGGTATTACTGATCAGTGCTTGTTGTGCTTTACCTTAGGGGAAAAGCATTGCCTGACACTGGGCAAGAGACACTCACCTGCAGGAAGCGATCGATGATAGCAACTGCCATGTACAAGGTCTCCTGCTGGAGTCTGAATTTTACCTGTACTTGCACAAGCCAGTCTATTAGTATGGCACGCATGCTCCCATTGATTTCCTGGCCAGCCAGGTATGTGGGTCTGACAGGTTGGTTTTCCTGTGTGGACAGAATAGGGTTAATAGATCTAGTCACCCAGATGAAGCATCTGCAATGCCTAGCCTCTGTTTCATCTTAAGGCTTATCAAGGAGTTCAGTACGGGCATAACCCATAGGTGTAAGCCACAGGGCACAAGGTTTCTTTGCTTACTAGAGATGAGCTAGGAAGAGCATGGTACTAGTACTATAGTTGATTGGTCTAACAACCAGCATGTCTTTATGTTATCAGCTCAGTTTAAGCTTGTATTTTAAGCTGAGGGATCACTTATTAGTGCCTCAGGAAAATCCAGAGGTGAAAGTGCATACCAGCTCCAAGCCACAGCTATAGTGACAGGTTCACTGCAAGTGTCGGCAGATGCCCCCCACAGTTCTGACCCACTCCTACCAACCTCAAGGTCTTTCAGATACTTGTAGATGTCCTTCACATAGTTGCTGCAGAGGTTTGGGTCAGTGCCATCATCCACATCGACATCTTCCACATCGAGCAAGACATCAGAAAAAGCTTGGCACAGGTTGTCGTCTGATGGGGTGCATCCAGATGTCTCCATGGGGGTGGGAGACTGAGGCTCCAACTACAAGGAAACTCGGGGTCAGCGTGAGCCAGGCTGCGCCCAGCAGCCCCATGGCGCGGGAGGGTGGCAGGGGCTCACCTCCCCAATTTCGGGGTGAGGCCGTGGCCCCCCGCCCAGCCCAGCCCAGCCGCGGGGGCAGCGTGGAGCGGGGGCACAGGGCCCCGCGGGCGGTACCTGGCAGGGC